GCGAGCAGGGCTCGTATCACGCTGCTGGTGCAGCTCGCCTTCCTCGTCATTCCATGCGGGAAATGAGGTGTCAGACTTATGGTCGACTACATCCTCAACGAGGCCACTCGACACTGAAAGCGTGCGCGTAGCGCGACGTTTGTGCTCATCGAACCTAGGATATACATCCCCCGGTGCCGCGGACGCACTGTCCGACATCGCACTGCGTGCGGGGACAAAGTTGGGCTCTGCCCGTGCTCGCTGTCAGTACCAGCGAGACTTGATGGTTTTTGTGTCGTGGACACAGGGCTCATTGAGCAAGGAAGTTGTTAAACTCCAAGAGTTGCAGTGTCTAACGGACACGCAAGCCTATCTGAGGCAATAATTGATTGGAACGTAAATGTTCTCAATCTTAATGGGGGGTGTAACGGGGTTACTCGAACCCTAATAACAGGGGTGTGTGTGTCACGCTAGATGTGCACGTTGTGACCACACACCCAAACAAGAATACAGTACGGGGCTAGTTAGCCAGCAGTTATCATGTATTTAGATTTTACTGTATAGATTTAGTATATTTAGGAAAATCTAAACTTTTCACATTAGAATAGTAATATTCATAAAAATTGGTTTGGAATTCAAACCGAAGAAACGATTAGCCTTGGGAAGGCAATAATCACTCTTGGAGTAAGCGGATTGCGATCCGCTAACTCATACTTGTTTCTTATAAAGAACGAAGGGTCGGTGACCTAAAGTACGCTTCCTCAAGCGTTTTGCTACGGCAGCCCCGCTGCAGTCAAAGTTCTTAAATCTAACAGAAAGGTTAAGAAATTTCTCAAAATTTTAACAAATGTCTCCGTTGCAAGACACACGGACATCGTATTCGTGATTGCGCCTTCAACTACTCCGCGTATTATCTACTATTTCTTAGCAACGCTAGCCAAACCTAATTGCACAAAACTCTTGATTATTCACATTTTCACATAGCCCGAGTAATAGGAGCAATGTGCCGTATCTCTCCGAAAGAGATTCGCATTTTTTAGATATATGTCCATTGACCTCGACCTCCACGAGGTACACTCGAACCCTGTTCTTTCCCAGACAGCACAAAGCGGCCTATTGGGATTCAACGTTTCCCAGCGAAGGACTAGTCAGATCACCTTGTGTGGAAGATTTTAGCAATATATATGCACAAACTTTGTAGAACCTCTGGTTTCTGAGCCAGAGATTCTTTATATAACAAACATAATACGTTAAACATTTGTGTTGCGGATTCCATGTTTTTTACATGGAGCAGCTAATAAAACTGGAGATAGGACTTTTCATAAACGTTGTGGTATCTCTGGTACATTGGTTGGTGCCGGTCATCTACATTCGCAACATTAGATATCGCTAGTTTGTTGTCGATATCATCCAACACCACGATCCCGAGAAATGTCCAGCAGAGAGTTTGGCTAGCATTACCGTAAAAACAGCATGAGCTGTAATACGAGATGTACGAAAACATTTAGGCTTGAAGTCCGTTGCATACACAGAGGTGAGCGAAAATGAAAGCAGCTATTGCTGATTGATCAACCTTTTGTTCTACCATGCACAGCTACTACCTACTATAGATTTGCTTGCATAGAGATAGATGTATAGTCAAATCGACAACTTCTTGACAGCCGAAATGCGACGTTTAAGAAAGCGGATAGTATTGTCAGGATTACACAATAAGATCACGAGCAATCTGAACCTTTTTCAATTATGAAAGGCAGATCCTTTCGTTACATATTACAAGCTGGCTCCTAGTACACGTCCTTGAGCAGATGGTGTCATAGGTATTTCGCCGCTGTCACCTCTTAACTGTTGTCCATCTTTAAATGTATGCTTGACATGTGGAAGGACGACTCTCCGTGGCCTGATGCGCGCAAATCGATCATACTCATCCTCAGAGTCACTTCTTTCACGATCGTCTTTGTCCACAACGTCCTCTAACCCATCCACGGTATCTGCTCTTTTCTGTAAAGGTGGTATTACGCGTGAGTTATGGCCGAGATGTATAATTTCACGCAGTTTGCGGTGAAAACGATCTCGATATGGTTTTGGAGGCATAGCCGAGATGCCATCCGGGTCGTTCTTAAGCAACACTGTCTTGATAAAACGTTCAGCTCGTTTACGCCAATTCCACGTTTGTAACATATCAATGATCCCAATATAGTAGAAACCAGGACCGATCACTACTTCAGCAGCCCGTAAACACTGCGTTGATTGCTTCACTCGATCATTGGCATCATAATTGTCAGCAGTATGTCGAGAATTGTCAACCTTTTTTGTAATACTGTCAGGTGGTAAGAAGACACTTCCATCCCTTGTTAGAATGTTGTTTCGATTCACAACGTAACTCACTTCTATCACTCCCAGCAACAATGAATAATCCATGACGCCACGAGCACACAAAAAGTCACTGTCCTGCATAAGTTGTCCAAGAAGTGTTTTACCAGCATCCTTGCCAAATCGCAGCTTCATGGTAAGATCCATATCCTTAAGTACAACGTTAGGTTCATGTGGAGCCCCCGCTCGATTTGGACACACGTTTGGTCGAAATTGATCTCCTTTGAATGAATTTGAACGGTTAGTGCTGCTGCCGCAACGAAAGCTAAGATTGCAGTGCCGACACGTAGCTTCCGCTCCACGACGAGGCTTTTTAGCATTGCGATCGACCCACGATCCTTTGATATCGTAGCGTTGGTGGATTGAAATCCCCTGTTGAACATCAAAGACATTTTCCATGACGACAAAAAATGTTGGCCGTCCATACAGTTCAAGGCAATAACTTCCAAGAAAACGCGTCAAGAAACTTGCGCCATGCTGTGCTTCAATGTACGTTGTATATTCATCTAATATTTCGTGAAGAAAAGCACTCTCCGATCGTGTCAACGACTTAACAACATAACTACGATCAGAAGAATAGTAGACAAAGGAGCCACTGGCACCTTCGCTGACTTTTGGCGTTGTGCAGGACTGTAGAGAGTGGAGATAGGCGTCATCGTTAATGTCATAAAAACGACGAATACGCTGAAATTCTAGCGGTCGAAACGCTGTAAAACGGCACTGCGTCCATGCAACATCTTCAGAGGATGGTTGGACCATAAATGAATACTGAGATGGTCCATTTTCAAGGTATTGAGAGTCAATATGCTCTGACGAATTTGGCGGAAATATGCTACTATGTCGCACTGCCTCAGCAATACCATGTGTCGTGTAAAACACAAGCTCGTCTAACAATGCCAAATTCATTTGCGGACGAACAGCATCCTCATCTTCGTCGTCTTCGTCTTCCACATTTTGAGAAGTATCGTTTGTGGTAGAACCATCAACTACAGCACCAGATTTAGCTTTCCATTTCTTAGATTGTGGACGATTGTAAAGACACCATAAAATAAAGGGTACACTGCCTCGGTAAGATAGTAAGAAAGCAAAGAGTCGAGACAAAGTGCGAGCCTGTGCTGCTGAGGGAGTGAGCCAGTATGCTCCATATACACCCCAAAGCAATGATGAATATAATATCAGTGTCACAGTTGTTAATAATCCTTCACGAAGTAAAACTCGTCGATTTCGTAAGGTAGCAGATACCCCTCGTCGAAATCGGGTATATGATATTAAAGTAACGTACAGATTCGCGACAATTGAAACAGTTGTAGGAGTGACAATGAAGACCCAAATGCCAATTGTTGACCCACTTGGGTGTTTGAAGCTAATATGATCACTTCGGGCTTGGGTATCAGCTCCGATCCAGCAAAAACTACCGACAGAAACAGGAGATTTAAAACTATTAAAAACACCCATTATGACTGCGCTTGCTACTGCTGTCCCATGCGCAATTCCCTGATACTTATGTCGATTTGAACGAGGCGACGTGAATGGATTTGTCATCTATCGAATGCATTAGAAATAATCTTCAGTTGATTATCTAGAAATTCCAAATCGTACCAAATAGTATAAATCTAATGCTGTACAAGTCGTCCATGCGCTAGAACACATGATAAGATACTCACGAGCTGTAGAGAGCTAGTGCAAAGTCTTAATGTGAAAAAGATGCACAAATCCAATTCAGCAAAGTCGTTTACTTACCCATCGACAGGACAAGTGACTTCCAACACCAGCACCAAATTGATTCCAGACTGGTTCCAATAGAAATGACAGCGCAAGGCAAAACTCACACAATGCCAAGTTGAGCAGTAAAATGTGCATATGTCGGCGATACCATTTTGTGCTGAGAAAGGAGCCAATAATTATTGCACACATTGAGACTGTGCCAATTGAGCCCAGGAAGAGCCCACTTTGAATCCCTGTTGCGTGAAAAATCTCGTCATACAAGCACAATGCACAAGCACCGAGTGTGACTGATAAAATAAAAACTCCAAATATCATTGAAAATTGACTCTTTTGAGCTTCTGGTGATGGCGCACGCAATAATTCGGCAACGACACGAACACCAGACTCTGTGGGTACCGTGACACTTGAACGAGATGGAGAAACTACTGGAGCAGTTGTCGGTATCGCTTCCTCCTTTGTATTGACATTATAGGATGATTCAATACCCTTTGATGTTTGTCCTGGATCGGACATTTGCTGCTGATTACCCGCCATAAGTGAGGGCAGGCTATTGTCCAGATTAGCATCAATATCAGCCGATGTCATCAACGATAAATATAATGTGACAATCGTTACGATTATTGAAATATGTATCGTAAGTATCTCAACTAACTTTAATTATACGCTTCCATCGTGTGGCTCACTTTGAGTGTCAAATGTCGTTGCTACTGCGTCCTTCTCTGCTTCTGCTGCACTCGCAGCGCTCAATGCACTTTGCAGTTCCCCGCATGGTCTGTTTGATGCGTTCTAGATGTTTGTGAAGACTGCTTGAACTAAGTTTTGATATGATCTATAGCAAACGGCAGCGTTTAGCTCGTCAGCTAGCAATTCTAGCCGTCTGCCTCGACTTACGTCTTTGCAAAAGACATCGCTTGGTCTAGCCGCCATGTTCGGCGGTGGTTACGCTATTGGCTATTTATTTGGTCCCTTTCCATCGCTTGAAGATTTGATGGGAGTCAAAGCCGTAAGCGGAGCTCCAGCGTATAAGGGCGAGCTTAAAGTGACGGACAAAGTGTTTTTTGACATCAGTATTAATGACGATTACGTTGGAAAAATTGTCATGGGTTTGTACGGTGAAGTCCAACCTCGAACAGTGGAAAATTTTCGGGCGTTGTGCTCAGGTGAAAAGGGTGCATCTCGTGCTGGGCCTCCACTTTGGTACAAAGGCTCTTTCTTTCATCGCATCATTCCCGGCTTCATGTACGTGCTAGATATCCTTGGTACAAAACGCAAAAGCCGACAATGTTTTACTTATTGACAGGATTCAGGGGGGTGACTTTACGCAGCACAATGGAATCGGTGGCGAATCAATTTACGGACGTCGTTTTGACGATGAAAATTTGAGTGTGCCTCATTCAGGCCCTGGAACGCTGAGTATGGCAAACGCCGGCGCTAATTCTAATGGCAGTCAATTCTTTATCTGCACAGGTGACACACCATGGCTTGATGGCAAGCACGTCGTTTTTGGACGGGTACTGGATGGGATGGATGTTGTAGACATTATCTCGAGCTGCGGAAGACGCTCCGGTAAGCCTAAAGCCGCAGTAAAAATTCTCAATTGTGGAGTATTGGATGCAGACAGTTCTACTCAAAGTGATGTGACGGAAGAAAAGGTAATAAAACGCTTGACACATGAAGAAATGCAGGATCGTCTGGATATGCTTCGGGAGATGGAAAGCAAGTTTGCGGCGCAAAAAGAAGCCGTTGATTCTGCCATGTATAAGCAATTTATGGATGAAATTGGTCTTGAAAAGTCTCGCTTGAAAAACGAAATCGAGAAACTTCAGTCCAAGGAGAAGTAACAAGAAGGAACTGAAATGTTTCTTCGCATATAAACACGACCCAATAGACACTTAAATATTGTAAAATACTGTGCTAATTAATTTGTCAAAACAAAGCAATTCACCAACAGGTAGTTCATGACTTTGCAAAGCTCCACTAGGAAAGAAGTGCGTGGCTTATATTACACCAAGCCAATCTTTGTTTCGTGTCGTTCCAGAAATGCTATACCCTGATTCAAACAATGTTCTGTGTTCAAGTGTAAGCAAAAAGTATCCACGCTGATAAACAATTGACGCTTTATGATAAAAGGCCCTTGACATTTGGACGAGCGTACATGTCGCGAGACACACGAGAATGATATTCCTGTTCGGCAGACACAATTTCAATGCAAGATTACTAAGATTTTTCCAGTTGTGCGTCGTATAACGAAGCTCTGTATCACCAAGAGGTACAACAGATTTCAGCGGGCCGTCCTGGTCCTACAGTGAGTCGGCATTTTTCCCGCGAAACATTGGTCGGCCAACTTTGCACAGAAGTTTGCTCATTTATACCCTTCCATCGAGAGTATAGGGAACACGCAATGTGTTGAAGGTCTGTCAATTTCACGTGTTCAGCAACCGTGGATATTAAGACGCTGTAGTCATCTCACGTATTTAAAACGACCCTTGTAAATCGTAAGTCATACTATAAATTAAATGCAGCATTCACCGTTTACGTAGTAGCAAATGAGTGGATTATGAAGGTCTCGGTGAGAGATGAACCTGCACGGGGATCCTTTATGAAGACAGAAATTGATATGAGTTCCAAAATATGTCAGCTGTAATGGCTACAGTAGCCATTTCCATAAACCTTCTGTATGCATTGTGGCAAATGATAAAAAGAATAGTGAGCAAGCTGTTCCCAAAGCACACGTGACATCTTGAATGAGGTCACAAACATTCTGTGTGATACAGAATGCTGGCCATACCTTGGGGGTTTGCGTGGAAGACAAAAGCAGCAGTAAACCGCTGCCTCGTGACAAGCCAGTTGGCAGCGATTGTGGTGATTGAGTTCTCGACCACCAAAGCGAAATTAAACCGAGACTAGAATGACGTTGGGCATATAAGGGCGTCAAGCTGCTCTCTTATGTGCTGGAGACGATAGAAGGTAAGACCAAAAGTTTGTTGCAGTCTCCTGTAATGGGTTCGGACCCTGAAAATTGTAGTATGACTTCCTTTTGACGGTATGAAAAATCAACACATCCGTGTGACACGCCCTCCTCCAGGGATAGAGGTGCTCCACTGAAACTAATCGTACAGTCGATCAGTACACACTTAGAAATTCGTGTCATATCACTAATTAGTTTTTGAGGTGTCACGGTTTTCAAATATCACACTCAAGAAAGCCAAATACCTTCTCTGCTTTTTTCATTGATGATACAAACATACGCTTCAACCGCATTCAATCGACCGCATGGCATCTTATTACCAAGGGCTCATAAGTATAGAGCGTTAGCGTCGTATCCGATAATTTTTCATCGACTTGCCACTGCAAATCTTCGTTTGATTACGCTTAGCGTAGCGATTGAAGATAAAAGAAGAACCTCCATACAAATTCTCTTTTATACATTAGCATCCTGACTCTTGTAGTCAGCCATGCGCTGAGCTGAAAATTGGAATGCGTTAGCAGGTTTTTATCCGGATATCGGAGATTATTTAAGCGGGGCTGATACATGACCTTATTTGATAGACTATTCATCCGCAAGCATATCCAGATCGAAGCGTTTAGATAGCTTTCACTAAGCCTTGATAGCTTTGGTAAAAGGGATTACGCCGAGATTATCGCACCCGATTATTAGGTGTTCGATCGATTTCATCTCGTAGTAATACCATACGGACTCCACTCATTCGTTTACATCTCGGGCGATTCTTGTTTCATGGAGCTTGATACTGAAAGCTGATTTAGGCGGGACAGTAGTCTGATTTAAAACATTGACTGCGAATATGTACTCGTACCGGAAAAGACCTTTACCACAACAAGAGATACATCTTATTTTGTCATCGAGTTTACAGTCACTGAGGTAAGTTGTAAGATACTTGTCGTGACTGATACCAGCTGGTTCATAGCTAGTGGTATCAAGCTTTTCACGTCCGGTTTAGCAATGGACATGTAGCTGGGCTTCTTGATGACAGTGTCGATGTTGTCGATACCAATTAAAGCAGACCATTCTTTTTGATCAAGTATTATATCGTATCGACCAGAAATTAAAGCCGAATACTGGTAACTGGTCAAGTTGCTGTTTCATTTTTCCATAAACAGACCTTTGCATATCATAACCTATACTGCGGTGAATACCAAAGAAGCTGACATTTTCCGCCTTTTCAATCCAACTTTCCACATTGAGGATCTTGTAGGATCAGTAGCTGCTAGTTCAATCGATGCTTTGTAAATGACGATCCCAGGATGCTACTTACGGTTATATTCAATTACACCCGTGATGTATCGATTAAGAGTATTCA